CCCAAAAGTTTCATTACATTGCTCTTTGATTGACAAGTCACTTTGATGTTATATGCAAATGAGTTGCTGGTGCGGCGATGTGTGACTTCCTGTCTTCGACCCTGTTACCTTACACGCCAGCAACGAGACCCAGAAACTACAAAAAACAGACAAGACGTAGACGCTTCCAGCATGCAAGCGGAATAAAAAAACAACTTCCAGTAGTATACTGTAAAATAATTTATTTTATTTTTTACGTCTTTTTTTCTCCAAAGGCATTTTAAAACTGAAGTATACAATTTTCGTTTCGCTGTAACGATCACCGTGATGGTAGCATTGCGATGCAATGAATAAACACCATTGCTGTGCTGTCATCGATAACTAACTTTTCAGTGGCAAAATACACAAACGTAAAATGCTCGGTTAGTTAAAAATAAAAAAATACCCTGAAAATTACAGAAAAATCGGCAACGAGATGCTGTTTTAAACACCGTAGAAAAAAATCACGCTAGCATGCATCTGTAGCGATGTCGCAAAGTACGTTGTATGGCCATGCACGGCGACCTCTGGTACTAAGGCACTCTATGAATGAGGTATTTCAGGGTTCGTAGGTCAGGGTTCGTTTAATTTGTATCGACCCGTTTCGTCTGTATGTTCCACTATTCACAATGCTGCGACATTTTAACAGTCTACAGCCAAGACTGTTTGGGTAATAAAAAGCAAAAAAAAAAAATCACGAACGAACCTTACCTCACCTAGAAATAAAAGTCAATAAAAATCACTATTTGCTAAACAATCATGAAATAAATTAATTTGGTATAGGTAGTAATTATTGAGGTGATTGAGTAGATGTTGTACATGGATGATGAAATGATAAAAGTATTTTTCTGTGTCATAAAATTATAAAATTATAACAGAAGTCCTGGTGAAAATGTATTTGAAGTATCAAAGCAATAGGCCAGCAATATTCAAACTTAAATTATGGTTATAAAATCTGATACAAATTTGCACATCAAATATCATAACCATGGCACAGGTTTGGTCAGAAAATAAGGTTTCATTAGCTATTTTTCATTCTCACCTACCCGCAAAGACTCATACGAAAACATAATTTAAAAAAGTGGTATTTTAGAAAAATTATGGACCGACAGGAGTGGATGACAAGTAGCAGAAACAGCACTAACTAGTGTCCCGTTACCAACCAATTTTGGAATCAACAAAGTAAAAATACATTTTTCGCACTTTGGGTTGAGATTCGCCTCAAACGATCCATGACACCATGCCAGTTTATACGTGATTATAGTGTCTGCTGCAATAAGTTTTGTTCGTGCGTGATATTCGAAAGCAAACAGGACAGAAGCGGTTTTTCACAAACACAGATCACAATCAAATCGAAATATGAACGATGTGAAACCTTAATACGAGATGCACACAATAATGATTGGTTCGTTGATATAACTCACCTTATCGCGATGATTGATTTCCGATTTTGATAGAAGTACTTTAACTGCATCATAACTATTCGCTCCACAAGCTATTAACAGTGATGTATCAGCAGTCTGTAATAAAATTTACTAAGAAAAATTTAGATTTTTGTAATAATACTATTTCAATCATACCGCTATACAATGACACAATATATATTTCCCATTAGAGAGCGCCCCCACAATAACAATTTTAGAAATGAACAATGGCAACTCAATGTAATAATCATAAATTCTGAAAATATGAATATTAGTAACAATTGTAGTGTACAAACCTTGTCTTGATGGTTTATATCGGCACCATGTTTCAATAATATTGTAATTGCGTCACAACTGCTATTCTCTGCAGCATACATCAACGCAGTCTTCTGATCCTGTGAATGTGATATAGAGAATACAAGTACGAATGACAACACATTGACAGATAACTCGGATATAATAGTCATAAATTCTGAAAATATGAATATTAGTAACAATTGTAGTGTACAAACCTCGTCTTGATGGTGTATATCGGCACCATGTTTCAATAATAATGTAATTGCGTCACAACTGTTATTCTCTGCAGCATACATCAACGCAGTATTCTGATCCTGTGAATGTGATATAGAGAATACAAGTGAGAATGTCAACACATTGGCAGATAACTCGGATATAATAGTCATACATTCTGAAAATATGAATATTAGTGACAAATGTAGTTTACAAACCCTGTCTTGATGGTGTATATCGGCACCATGTTTCAATAATAATGTAATTGCGTCACAACTGTTTTTACTTGCAGCATACATCAACGCAGTCTTCTGATACTGTGAATGTGATATAGAAAATACATGTAAAAATATCAACACATTGACAGATAACTCAGATGTAATAATCATACATTCTGAAAATATGAATATTAGTGACAATCGTAGTTTACAAACCTCGTCTTGATGGTTTATATCGGCACCATGTTTCAATAATAATGTAATTGTGTTACAACTGTTATTCTCTGCAGCATATATCAATGCAGTCTTCTGATCCTGTGAATGTGATATATAAAATACAAGTAAGAATGTCAACACATTGACAGATAACTTGGATGTAATGGTCATAAATTCTGAAAATATGAATATTAGTAACAATTGTAGTGTACAAACCTCGTCTTGATGGTGTATATCGGCACCATGTTTCAATAATAATGTAATTGCGTCACAACTGTTATTTATATGCTGCATACATCAACGCAGTATTCTGAAACTGTGAATGTGATATAGAGAATAAAAGTAAGAATGACAACACATTGGCAGATATCTCGGATATAATAGTCATACATTCTGAAAATATAAATATTAGAGACAATAGTAGTTTACAAACCTTGTCTTGATGGTGTATATCGGCACCATGTTTCAATAATAATGTAATTGCGTCACAGCTGTTATTCCCTGCTGCATACATCAACGCAGTCTTCTGATTCTGTAAATGTGATATAGAAAATACAAGTAAGAATGTCAACACATTGACAGATAACTCAGATATAATAGTCATACATTCTGAAAATATAAATATTAGAGACAATAGTAGTTTACAAACCTTGTTTTGATGGTTTATATCGGCATCATGTTTCAATAATAATGTAATTGCGTCACAACTGTTATTCCTTGCTGCATACATCAACGCAGTATTCTGAAACTGTGGATGTGATATAGAGAATAAAAGTAAGAATGACAACACATTGGCAGATATCTCGGATATAATAGTCATACATTCTGAAAATATAAATATTAGAGACAATAGTAGTTTACAAACCTTGTCTTGATGGTGTATATCGGCACCATGTTTCAATAATAATGTAATTGCGTCACAACTGTTATTCTCTGCAGCATACATCAATGCAGTCATCTGCCCTATGAATGTGATATAGAGAATACAAGTAAGAATGTCAACACATTGACAGATAACTCAGATGTAATAGTCATACATTCTGTAAATTTATGGCGGCTGGTGTATACGCATCTTACTACAGATGGCCGTGAAGGCCATTGCTAGGCGACCGAATACTGTAAAACAATTTGGCCAATTTAGCTGATTCAAGATGCAGCTAATGCAACAGAAAGTATATTCCCATAATGAGATAATCGACACTTTAGCTAAATTAAGATTATGATAATTCATGCCAAGAGTCAAATCCGCTAAAATTGCATGCAGCTATTTCAACATGTTCTACAGTATTAAACGTGGCCGTAACGTCTGCCTGCGTCAGATTGTAATCAGATTGGTGCCATGTATACAATCATAACACTCCCTGGGTCACAAAGTATTATATTTTATCAACCAAAGAATGCAAAGACAATTCACGTTCCGACAACACCACTGGAAATGGGCGCCGTAAATGATATAAATATATGGTCAGAAATATTTGATATCAGACATAACTCTGTTTACGTAAGTATTGAACAAAATAAAATAAATAACAAATTTAATTTTGATTTAATTCTGCCGTTGGAGTGAAATTGACTACCAGGTTGAGAACATGATACTGTAAAATACTTTATTTTTTTCCATTTAGAATTCACTTTCGCTATTTTTGCTGAATAGAATATTTTTTACTCCTTTTGTCGCTTTTCCAGTACGTATTCGATTGTTTGATTAACATGTTACACTTCATCACTATGGTTATGGTAAATTAAAACATTAACACACTTTGGTTTTAATTACTATTTGTTGTCAGCCATAAAGATATTATTAACTTTAACCAGGGAACTTAAAGGAAAATATCTTGTTCTACAATGAAAAAAATCTTTCTACCGATTTCGGCATTTTTAACCTGATTAGGCAAGTTAAATGAACGCATTCCTGTTGACAAATATGTCGCTATTGGTTCTCGGGGATGATTCATTCTAACACAATTTTACTCCTACGACATTTTTTCCTTCCACGTTTGTTATTGTCATCGGGCACCCCAGAATTTTGTAATTGACCATTTTCCGTTCACTGCGAGAATCGCGCGTTATGCGTGAAAACGAGCGTCAAAACAGGACAAAGGTCATAGCGTCGTAGTGGCGTCAAACATCGCGTGGGATTCGACAAACGCGAAAGTATTTCGGGGGATATTCCATGCTTAATAATGTGCTGTACACATTTGATGATAGGCAATTTCGAAGAAAAAAGGGTATTCGAAAGCAATATTCCTCTGTCGAAGGTCGTACGGTCGATGTGAGCTACGAAATTCGAGTTCAAAATCAAATCGTTCGATTTTTGCGCCAGACGCTCGACGCGCGTCTTTCATGCAACTCGCGAGATCTCGCACTTGAACGGAAAATCACCTATTTCTAGAATTTTGTGCTGCGTTTAGTCGCACTTCGGTTTTCCGTTTCTCAGATTGTTATAACATTGTATACCATAGATATGTTAACAATAATTTCATATATAACCAAACATGGTAATTACACAATTTATATATATATATATATAACTTACCACGTTTGTTTGGTTGACATTAGCGCCACGTGACAGCAACAGTTCAACTGCCGGAAAATGATTGTTACGTACAGCTACCGTCAAAGCATTCATACGTTCCTAAGAACATGACATAAGTGAAAACGTATGAAAATTATGTTTCTATGATTACGTCCTACACTGTGACATGTTTCCATATAAATATACAACCCTTTTCATGACAATATACATATGACATATTCACATAAGCTTTATTTTCACCAAATTGTATCTTGAATCGTTTATTCACTCAACGAATGAAACAATTGGTTTCCATAAATTGTAGGGAGGTAATTACGAGGTGCAAATAACCAGATGCATACAAATATTGCATATTTTCAATTCACCGCCGATCTTTTCCTTGAATTGACCTCCAGAAAAAACAAATTAAATTACTCGCTGGGTATATATCAATTATATATTTCTTTGCTAGTTTGAGTTTAGTTTACTCTTAATGATGTGGTCATACTAGTCGTTCAGATTATTCTGTTAATATACAATCATAACTTATGACTGAACGTCTATTCCTGATTACTGTCTACTGGAGTCAAGTTCATTTGTAATACAACCCACGTAAATCAGTATAAAAGTAAAACGTACTCTTATAAGCCAGTGTTGACAAGCATTGATAGTTTTCTTGACATGACACCTACCAATATAGGTATAGTAAATACAAATGACAAGCAATATGCTATCTGGTATTACTTAGGTTAATACTATATGTCTAGTTAGTAGTACTTGAAGGTCGTTATTGTCGCCAGGTTATTATTTGTCAGATACTTTTATGTACTCCATTGGTCATTTACTTTTTAACTTTTATGTCACCAATCATAATTAGTTTTAACATCTTAATGGTGGTATTTGAATCAAACGAGGCTGATCTAATCAACATAGCAAACGTTAATCCATACAAATATCTCTAAAACTATTGGCTATATACATTTTCATTCACAGTTTCTGGCACTTTCTGTTGTCTACTTTTTACACTCGACCTTACATAAAAGTCATAACTATATCACGCTCAGTACTCAATTACAGACTCTATCTGGAATGTAAACTCACCTCATCATATTCTGTGTCGACATCATGACCTTTATCCAACCATGTCTGTAATGTCTCAAAATCTCCATTTGCAGCAGCTCTATAGAAGTCCTTCAAATAACAGAGAGATATAATTGATAATTACGCACGTCTACAGGTAATATTGACATACTAATCTGCTGTACGTATGATAAGCATTAAAATCGACATTGCTAATTCAGATTCATTTTAATGTAATTACCAATTAAATAAGTATTAAGGTATCATAGGGTCTACTAAAAAAATATGGCCCAATTTACAATGCATAAGACATAAGTCTTCAAAGTGCAATACATAGACTATTAACCTTTTCACCACCAGTTCCTGTTTACAGTCTGCACTTTCCTTCAGAGGATTTGGACAAAAATAGTCAATTTATTTTAGCACAAACTGAAAATTGACTTAAATTATGTCTGTTGGAGTTTAGCTCCATAAATATTGAAGAATATAAAAATATATAAAATATAATATAAAAAAGTGCATCACTGCAATCACTGTCAAATATTTGGTAGAAGTACCACATTCACTCCTCTGCTATACACACAAAATGAAAAATGTTCATTTTACATGATATCGCACAGTTGGTTCAGGAAATTATCAGTATTCTTGACACGCCTCTGTCAATAAAGAACCACCACAACTAATTTCAAGAACAAAAACCAGCACTGAGGGACAGCATTAATGGTATATATTTTATATTGTGAGGCACACAACTTTCTGATTTTATCACAACTGGTGCCAGATTTCTACAATTTGTGATAATGTTTGAGGACCTGTTTTGTTCAGATAGATTAAGCGTAATATACATTGAAGTATAAGCCTATATATGCATATTTGTAACATAAAACAATATGCTATAAGTCTATAATGGTATACATGTTGAATATAACAATGTTCTATAAGTCTATATTGGTATGTATGTATAATATAACATTGTTCTATAAGCCTATAATGGTATAAATGTAAAATATAACATGTGCTGTAAGCCTATAGTGGTATAAATGTAAAATATAACAATGTGCTATAAGCCTATAATGGTATAAATGTAGATTATAACAATGTTACATAAGCCTATAATGGTATATATGTGAATTATAACAATGTTCTGTAAGCCTATAATGATATAAATGT